GAGGAGCTGGGAGCAAGAGGTGTAAGGAGCTGAGAGTAAGAGGGTGTGCTGCTGGAGGACTGAGGAGCACAAGCGTTATCAGACACCAGGAGGAAGGTCCTGTGGTGAGAATAAGGAAGGTGTTTGGAGGAGGCCATGGGGAAGTAGCCAGGGAGTTGTAGCTGTCATGCAGCTGTTACAGGAGGCACTCTAGACAGATGCAGTCCACAGGGCCCCAGGCTGGAACCCGGAGTAGAGGGTGGGCCTGGGTTCCCCCCAAACCTCTCAATTGACCTGGACTGTGGGTTCTTCCAGAGGGGAAGGTCTCTGAGCTGTTCCCCAACCCACATGGTGAATCTCTGAGGCAAGAAAATCCGCCAATAAGCGCAGGACCCACCAAGATAGAGGAGGAACTTTGTCACAGTAGGTACAGTGGCCATAAATTAGGCACTTTTGAGCAATGTTTTCTAGGGTCATGAAATAGAAACACAGATATTTGCTATTTTTAAACATGTACTGGTAGCTGACTCAGTAGCAGCACAGCCATATTCCTAAGAGTGGAAGATTTTTTCTGAATGAATTTATCCTGAAACACTGTACTAGTGCTGCTAACTTCAAACCGGCAGCAAAAGGACACCTTTGATTATGTCTGCATTCCTTTGACTTCTTTCTTCATTCCAAATACTGTTCATCACACTGACTCCTCATTCTACTGGCCTGTCTATTCCTGGCACACAGAGCAAATGCTACTCAGGGCAGCAAGTCACCCTGGACAAAGATTTTGTAGTTATTTAAAAAAAAAATTGTTTGACTGATCTAAAAATACCAAATGAGGACACTTAAAGGGTCCTGAAAGAAATTCCTGGCCTGTGGAGACATCTGGAAAACTGAACTGCCCTAGAAAAAATGGGATATGTGGTCAAATTAGATTTAGGAGGACTGAATTTAGTCAGAACAAAAAATTACACAGGATCCTTAATACCCTAAGTGTGCAGCACAGGGAGGTAGGGATGCTAGTAATAAATCACTACAAATGAATAACAAGCACTAATGTAGCTCTTTATATTTTCAGCGTGTTGTGAAACATGAATTAATCCTCCAAACATCCCTGTGAGGTAGGGAAGGGAATGAATCTATGGTTTTGAGCAGGTGTCTGGGAGGAGGAGAGGGGAGAAACCTTCCTTCTGTTCCTGGCTTAGTTGCTGACTCACCATGTGACCTTGGCCAAATCTCCCCACCCCTTTATTCCCGCACTATTAGCTGCTGCAAAGTGGGAACAGATAGTTATACTTATTTGCAAATGTCAGAGGGGATTTTTAAAACACCTACAAGAGCTCAGACGAACTGCACTACAGATCTGAGAGATATTCTCAGTATTGAACATACTACGGGTGAGATCCCCTTGCCCCCTGTTGCATCTCCTATTTACTGCCTCGGTGCATGAGTAGCATGGGGGGCAGGTAATTCTGGGGTGCGACACAGGTCAATGGATGCCCTTGAGAGGCTACTGCAAATTACAGCAACCCTGAAGCCACTAATTTACACCCAGGAACTGCACTGGCCCTGGGCCGCCCACAGTCTGAGCAGTGCAAAGGTGGTGTAAGCCATCTTTACCCCATCTCTGCCTGGGCTGAATCAGACTGTTCCTTTCCACCAGCACCGTGCACCTTGGACCTGGCATTAGGTCATTATCCGCTTGGAGGGAACAGAGACCACTACTGACTTAATGCCCTGTACCCTCCTGCCTTTCCTCCTCCCAGTACACACCAGCCCCAAGCCTATTTAGTTTATGGGAGCTGAAGAGATCACAGCACCAGGTGGTCTGCCTGCCATCATGAATATCAAGCTATTACCAACACATTTCACATTCAAAAATGACCTGCCCACAGTTGCTGAGTCACAGTTGCTGTGGGAGCCACTTTGAATTTCCTGACTTAAATTCTCCACCCCAACCCTCATTACCATCCTTTTCTGACCCCCCACCCCCCCAAGACTCTAGACCCCCGCATGCTCTGCTTTAGTTACCAATGAGTTGGGCACATTCATTCTAAACTGCTATTTTCAATTGCTTATAACTTTATCAGAAAATAATCTCCCAGCTGAAATTTCTTAACGTTGATGCAACCACAAAGGTTTAAAGCTAAACACTACAAAGTGACCTACGCGTAAAAAACTCACTGCCCCAATCCTGAGCCAGCTGGGTGCTGGGTGATCCCCAGCATAAAGCAGAGTAGCTTAACAACTGCTCTATATTACACCACTGCCAATAAAAAGAAGAACAGGAGTACTTGTGGCACCTTAGAGACTAACAAATTTATTAGAGCATAAGCTTTCGTGGACTACAGCCCACTTAT